CAGTCTACTTTAAATGTAATCAGATTTCAAACACTACTAACCTGTTCGCAGACAGGCTATATTTGCAAGCCACCATTCTGGGATCTTGGGAAGAATCACAATTACTCTATCTCCTCTTTGCAGGGAACAGGCTTCTGTAAGTATATTGGCAAATTTCCTAGACAAAGATCCCAGTTCCTCAAAACTCCATCTCACTTCTTCTCCATTTCCATTTATCCACCAGAAGGCTGGATTGGAAGGTCTCTTTCCAGCCTGAGGAAAGGCACACCAGATGATTTAAAGCTCCTGATGCAGCTTAATTCTATTTTAACTGACTCAGTGGAATATTTTCTCAGAAGAAAATTCATAGATCTTTAGTTAGGTCACATGGGAAAATTTGGAAATAACTCTGGGGTCTTCATTTCTAGCTGTCAGGAGCCAGGTTTTGTGTTTTCTTTTTTTTTAAGATTTTATTGATTTATTTGACAGAGAGAGAGATCACAAGTAGGCAAAGGAGGGGTTGGGGGAAGCAGGTTCCCCACTGAGTGGATAGCCTGATGCGGGGCTTGATCCCAGGACCCTGAGGCCATGACCTGAGCTGAAGGCAGAGGTTTAACCCACTGAGCCACTAGGCACCACTGTCAGGAACCATGTTATTTTTCATTTAGCCTGATTGTTTTTCTTTCCAAAAAGTTAGAATTCTTGCATCCTTTTATGTTCTCTCATTGCTATATCTATACCCCATTCCCTACCATTTCTGACCATTTCTGACTTTCATACTACTACTTTTTGGTATTTTTAAGAAGTTAACCTATGGGGTGCCTGGGTGGCTCAGTGGGTTAAAGCCTCTGCCTTCGGTTCAGGTCATGATCTCAGGTTCCTGGGATTGAGCCCCACATCGGGCTCTCTGCTCAGCAGGGAGCCTGCTTCGTCCCTCTCTCTCTGCCTGCCTCTCTGCCTACTTGTGATCTCTGTCTGTCAAATAAATAAATAAAATCTTAAAAAAAAGAAGTTAACCTATAATCATACATTTTTATAAACCAGGCTTTCTCAACTATGAAACTATTAACATGTTGAGCCACATAATTTTTTGCTATGGGGGACTGTCCTGTGTATTAGAGGATACACAGCAGCATCCCTGGCCCAAACTGTTTCCAGACATTTGCCCTGGGGGCAAAATCACTTCTATCTGAGAAACTATAGTTGGACTGGCCCTTGTTCCTTACCTTTTCCACATTGGTCCATTCGTCCAGGACATCTTTAGCAAAGTTGAAATACTCTGGAATCTCCAGTCTGAATTCCTGTTTCATAGATTCATAATTGGAAAAATTCTGAGGTGAAACTGTTCTATAATCTTTATGTAGTACTCTCACAGAACCAGGGATTGCAAGGCGCTGAAAACACTTGGCAAGAAGTGATGTCTCCATGGTGACAAGAGCTAGCATCAGTCTTGCTGGATGTGTTAGCACTCAGGATTTCTACAGAAGCCGGTTCATCTAAAAGACAAGCTAATGAACATGCATTTGTCTCTGTCCTAAAGGTAGCCATACCACAAAGTAGCTAAGTTATATTATTATTATTATTTATAATCATCATACAAGTGCCATCTCTGAGCACTCAATATGTTTCGAACACCGTACTCAGTGCTTTACTTACATATGAATTATAGTAAATTTTCAGAGTAACTCTGTGAAGTGGATATTATCATCTCTGTTTACAGATAGAAAAAATTACTAAGAGGCTGTCTTAGTGAACTCTGGCCACCATAAGAAAATACTATAGACAGGCTGGTCAAAACAACATTTATTTCTCACAGTTCTGGAAGCTGGGAAGTCCAAGATCAACTGCTAGCCAATTCAGTTCCCCCATATGGGCTCTGTTCCTGACTTGCAGATGACAACTTTCTCTTTATGTACTCACATGGTAGAGAGAGTGAGAGCTCTGGTTTTTCTTCTTCTTCTATTAGGATACTAAGCCCATCATTGGGGCCTCACCCTTATGACCTCATCTAAACCTAATGACCTCCCAAGGACCCCACCTCCAAATACCATCACATTTTGGGGGTTAAGGTTTCAACATATGAATTTGGAGAGAGACACAAACATTCAGTACACAACAAAGGCACTAGCTGGATTTGAACCTAGAGCTGTCTGGTCCCAGCCCATTTTCCTGACTATGTACGGCATGCTATTGTCTCCCATATGCGTTTCGAAAGAAGTAAAGATCTTAGTCACCCAGTTACTCCCAGTGAAAGCAAAGATATCTAATATATTTCACCTGCATTTCAAAAGTTATAGAGACATGTTAAGGAGAAATTTCCACAGTGGATAATCCATAAGTGAAGAAATAGAGTAACCTAGTACCAATTAGGCATGAAAGAACTGTCAAAAATCGTTTAGTTTATAGGCTGTAGTTCCCATGCTCCCAAATAGGAGCCCACACAACCTTCGAGTCCAGACTTGGAGCTGCATTTACCAGAGATGTCATCATAGGTCTTTAACCTTTGGGACTTTTGTGGGGGAGGACCCTCCAGGCCACCTAGCCCTCCCTGTTTCTGTGGGAATTCATCTGATCATGATGTCATTTACCTGGCTGAGATCTCATAAACAAGGTTGTTAAAAACATGGTTCTAGAGATGATAGGGTTCTTCTTCATACTTTCTGTAATTTTCCAAATTTCCTACAATGAAATACTACTCTCACAATCATTAAATCATTTTTTTATAGAGGGAGGGGCAGAGGGAAGGGAGAGAGAGAATCTTAAGGAGGCCTCACTCATGGAGCCTAATGCAGGACTGGATCTCACAACCCTAAGATCCTGACCTAAGCTGACACTTAACCGACTGAGCCACCCAGGCACCCTATCATTAAGTCATTTTTAACTGCAGCTCTAGCTGTGCAGTATGTAAGGCAGTGTGGCTATGTGGAAGAGTTTCTGTATTGATGCATTGCCAAATAATGGATATCATCCATAAGTTTAATCCTAAATGGGCCTGGTGTTTAGGCGTTATGTAGCTGCACCCAATGCACTGGGAGATCTAGGTACTTCTGACCCTCCCACATCTTTATGTGACGACCTGACAAGTCGCTGAGCTTGAGTCCTCTGAGATCATCCGGTTTGAGCTCCTCATTTTTCAGAAAGAAAATGGAACCCCAGAGAGGGGTTCACTTCAATAGGTCATGTCAGAGTGAGAACTAGAACTCATGTCTGTGGATTCCCATTTCAGTGTTCTCTTTACTATAGTTCAATAGGATTCAGTAGAGCAGTGATTCTCAACTCTGGATGTGTATTTGAATCACCAGGAAAGCTTCTTCTTCTTTTTTTTTTTTTTAAATACCAATGCCTGGGGCTTAGACCAGTTAAATCAAAATCTCTAGGGGTGGGGCCAGGGCATCATATTTTTTAAAAATTTCCTCAGAGGATGCTAATGTGCAATCAAGGTTGAGAATCACTCATCCAGAGGTGATCTGTGAGCCAGCAGATCAGCATCACCTGGAAGCTGGTGAGAAATGTACATTTTTGGGCACCTGGATGGCTCAGTCATTAAGCATCTGCCTTTGGCTCAGGTCATGATCTCAGGGTCCCGGATAGAACCCCACATCGGGCTCTTGCTCGGCGGGAAGGCTGCTTCTCCCTCTGCCCCTCCCCCTGCTTGTGCACACTCTCTCTCTCCCACTCTCCCAAATAAATAAATAAATAACTTTTAAAATATTTATTTATTTGACAGAGAAAGACGCAGTGAGATTGGGAACACAAGCGGAGGGAGTGGGAGAGAGAGAAGCAGGCTTCCCACTGAGCAGGGAACCTCTATCAGAGCAGGAACGTCTATCAGAGAGTTGTCACAAAGATTAAATGAGATAATGCATGCAAAGTGCTTATCATGGTGTCTTGCCTATTACTACCCACCCACTGGAGTAGGGGGTCAGCAAACTTTCTATAAAAGTCCAGATAGTAAATATGGCTTTGTGCACCATATGGTCTCTGTGGCAACAGTTTACCTCAACTCTGGTTGAGATAGCAGCCACTGACAGACAATACATGACTAAATGGGCATGGCTGTGTTCCAAACAAAACCCACTGATGGATATTAAAACTTGAACTTCATGCAATTTTTTTTTTTAAGATTTATTTATTTGAGAGAGAGAGAAAGCACATGCAGGGGGAGGGCCAGTAGGAGAGGGAGATGGAGACTCCCAAGCAGACTCCCTACGGAGGGTGGAGCCTGATGCAGGGCTCGATCACATAACCCTGAGATCATGACCTGAGCCCAAACCAAGAGTTGGACGCTCAACCAACTTTGCCACCCAGGTGCCCCTCATGTAATTTTCATATGTCATGAATTAGTATTCCTCTTTTGACTTTTTTGAAAGATTTGAAAATATAAAATAAAACCATTCTTGGTGGGGCACCTGGGTGGCTCAGTGGTTTAAAGCCTCTGCCTTCAGCTCAGGTCACGATCCCAGGGTCCTGGGATCAAGCCCCACATCGGGTTCTGTGCTCAGCAGGGAGCCTGCTTCCCGCCCTCTCTCTCTGCCTGCCTCTCTGCCTACTTATGATTTCTGTCAAATAAATAAAATTTAAAAAAAAAATTCTTGGTTTGTAGCCTGTATAAAAACAGACAGAAGGCTGGATTTAACTCATGGGCTGTAGTTCGCTGATCTTTGGTGCTACAGTATAGGTTTTGTGAGGGTGGGCATTTTGTCTGTTATGTTCATGGTACTATCCCTAGGAAATAACATAGTGTTTGGCTCGCAGTATGTGCTTATTTTTTGAATGAATAAATGATGTTTTCAGAAGGGAGAACTTTGTATATGGTTTATTTCTATAGCTAAAGGTTATATTAGACCTGAAAAGTACCTCTATTGCTTAACCAAATTTATATGACTACATGTACTGTTCATATATGGCTATTTAAATTTAAATTTAATACTATTTAAAAACACTGGCTGCATTTCAAATGCTTAACAGCCACATGTGACTAGTAGCTACTGCATATAGGTAACTGCAAACACAGAACATTTCTATCATTGCAGAACATTCTTGTGGACAGTGCTGACCTATATTGATAATCGCTGAGAAATGGATGATATGAAACATTAAAATACAGGCAGTTGGGGCGCCTGGGTGGCTCAGTGGGTTAAGCCTCTGCCTTCTGCTCGGGTAATGATATCAGGGTCCTGGGATCGAGCCCTGCATCGGGCTCTCTGCTCAGCGGGGAGCCTGCTCCCCCCTCCTCTCTCTGCCTGCCTCTCTGCCTACTTGTGATCTCTCCCTGTAACAAATAAATAAATAAAATCTTAAAAAAAAATACAGGCAAACTGAGGTGAATGGTTTCCCAGGTAAGATTTTTCCAAGGGTTTCCAAGGGGTTAGGATTAGCAAAGTACTGCCTCCCACTGTTGTCTGGTTTGGCAGTAAGGGTTGAGTAGAGAGGGAACCACCCTTCTCTGCTATTTGCTGGCAAGTTATAGCCCACACATTTGGCAGTTATCTCCCATATTACAGAATTAGTGTCAGGGCTCCTTCAACTGAAGGAAGAAGTTAAGTAGTACTTAAAACTATGTTTTTAGTGTTGTGACTTTTTCTCTTTATTTTCAATTTTTTAGAGAAGGTCTTCAAATGGTTCAAATGTTAAATGTTCAAATGTTAAAAATTACAGTGAAAAATTGCACCCTTCCCCCCCCCCCACCTGCCTGGGTGGCTCAGTCTGTTAAGTGCCTGCCTCTTCATTTTGGCTCAAGTCATGATCTCAGGGTTGTGAGGTTCAGTCCATGTATGGCTCCACACTGGGCATTGAGCTTGCTTAAGATTCTCTCTCTCCCTCAAAAAAAAAAAAAAAAAAAAAAAAAAACAAAAAAAAAAAAAAACGCCCTCTCCCACCCCCATTTCACAGCTGCCCAGTTTCATCCCAACCCACTCCCTCCAGGAACTATGATTAGTTCTATGTATTTCTTTAGGATTTCTTTCCATGTATTTCAGCAGATGACTATAGATCCTTATTTCTTCACTACTTTGACACAACAGGTAGCCTAGAATACTACACTGTTCTTGTAGTTTAAAAATTTTTTATAACAAATTCTTGAAGGTCCGTCCATGTCAGTACATGAGGATCTTTCTCATTTTGTTTTGTTTTCGTTTTTCTTTTATGTTTTGTTTTTTTTTTAAAGAGCTGCATGGCATTCCAGTGAACAACTGTACCATAATTTCTTTTTTTTTTTTAAGATTTTATTTATTTATTTGACAGAGAGACAGATCACAAGTAGGCAGAGAGACAGGCAGAGAGAGAGAGGAGGAGGAAGCAGGCTTCCCCCCGCCCCCCAGCAGAGAGCCCCATGCGGGACTCAATCCCAGGACCCTGAGATCATGGCCTGAGCCGAAGGCAGAGGCTTAACCCACTGAGCCACCCAGGCGCCCCTGCACCATAATTTCTTAAGCCAGTCCCCTATTGATGTCATTTGAATTGTTTCCATTATTGTGCAGTTAAGATGAAATTTTGAAACTATTTCCTCCACTACATTTAGAATCCTGCAAATATACATTGAAAAGAAAATTGACCAGTCAGTTGCAGCTTAAAATGAGCCTAACCATTCTGTTCTACCAAAAAGAAAATATCAGCATCGTCCTCATCAGAGATAATAAGATTGTCTTCTCCTCAAACAAAAATTATTTTTGTTAATCTTAGCACTTTACAACATCTATTTTCCAGCTTTCCAATATTCTTTGTAGGTAAAAGAGTTGAGATACGAGTCCAGATGTTTGCACTGAGCCATAGAAAACTCTTCTAAGAAAGAAAGTACCACTGCTGGTCAGTTGGGTGTGAAAGTATTTGTGGTCTCATCTGACATGCAAGCTCTACATCTGTATAAACATCAGTGCAGAGGAGGGCTTAGCCTCCTTACATCTTTGTAAGTATCTCTCCCACCAAGTAGTCCCAAGTAATCTCATTGGCTTAGCATATATAGCCTCAAAGCAAGGTGAAGCCCCTTCTATTCTCCCCAGCCCTAACAGGACCCACCCTCAACTTTTAGACAGGGTTTTTAGAGCTTCTCTTGATCATTTCATGGAGAGAGGGGCTACCCCAGGATTATTTCCTTGGTTTTCATGTATACATTCCCTGAGATTTCCCTAGATATAATATGCATACTTCCCAGATGATGCAGAAGATAGATTCCAATTTGCCACTGAGCAGGGTGGAAAGTGAAATAGACAGTACAGTGCAAAACTCAGCTGCTCCTTGGACCCAATTAAATTTTTTTCCCAAGACATTTTACCAAGTTAACACATGCACATAGTTATAAAAAAAAATTACATAGTACCAAAAGACTTAAAATTAAAAACTTAGCTATGTTTACAGCTTTTTTTTTTTTTAAAGATTATTTATTTATTTATTTGACAGAGAGAGATCACAAGTAGGCAGAGAGGCAGGCAGAGAAAGGAGGAAGCAGGCTCCCTGCCAAGCAGAGAGCCCAATGTAGGACTCCATCCCAGGACCCTGAGATCATGACCTGAGCTGAAGGCAGAGGCTTAACCCACTGAGCCACCCAGGCACCCCTATGTTTATAGCTTTTTGTGTGCACATACTCTTAGATAGACTTACACAGCAGCTGAGAAATTCTGATAGAAACACTTGGGCTGCCTAAGACTTCCATGAGAACATTTTTGGTCTGTTGCTTTTGGTTGCTTTTTTGTTATCTTGGCTCAAAAGTGTGCATGCCAGAGCAGCAAACCTTACATAGGAGACAGATAGGGTAGTACTCACTAAAGTGACGGATTCCGACACAGCTGGAGGTGATGGCAGACCAGTTTCCTGGGAGAGCAGGCCTGAAACTTGAACTCTCGCTTCTGTGTTAGTTCTGGCAGTAGCCAAAAGAAGAGGGAGAAGTAGTAGTCTGACAACTGGAAGACGCAAGACATACCCAGAGGGCCTTTCCTGGATTGGTAGAGACATTCCAGAGGGAGGAGCCAGAGTGCTGGGCTAAGATTATGCTCAAAGTTTATGCAATCTCCTGCCACCCTCCAATTCATAGTTAATGATTTAAATACACTGCAAGCTTTTGCTGGTGGGGGCGGGGGGACTGGGAAAGTAATTTATTCACAGGAAGGGAAGTGCCCATGGAGTTGCTGGAGGGTTTGGACTTGTGAAGGGGTAGAGCAAGTTTTATCTCAGAAGGAAGAAAGAACAAAGTATGGAAGAGGACATAGAAGAGTTTTGAAATGGAAAACAAAGAAGTTAAGTGGCGCATTTGAGTTGTTCTACACCTCAGAGAACCAGTTCCTGTGTTTATCTGTTTAACTGGTCAGGACTAAACATAAATGCTCTTAGGTTGCTCCTTTGCTCATATTCTGCAGTACTTCCCAGTTTACTCCAGGTAAAATCTCAAGTCCTTACCTTGACTACAAGGAACTGTGTGATCTGGCACAGGGTTCTCTCTGACCCATCAGCTGCTCCCCCTTCCCTTACTCAGCTGGGGCCACATTGGCACCCTTGCTTTTTTTTTTTTTTTTTTTTTTTTTTAACATACCATGCATGTTCCAGCCTTGGGATTTTTGCCACTGCCTGGAACACTCTTCCCTTAGATACGCCTTGGCTAAATCCCCATTTTATGAGGTATCCTATCAAAGAGGTCTTCCCTTACTACATTTTCTAAAACAGCACGCCTCAATTTTTCTCTTTAATCTGTTTTAACTTTTTACATCTCTTACCACCACCCTTAAGAGTAAGAAATTTGTTTTGTTTGCTGATACATTATTGTTGTGATGTGTTACAACAGTTGTCTAAAAAACTTACTGACAAATTTTAGGCATTCAATAAGTAATTGATGGGTAAATGAATAAATAAATAATTTTTTCAGTTACATGTGACAGAAACCCAATTTAAATTCACTTAAGCAGGGATGCCTGGGTGGCTCAGTTGGTTAAGCATCTGCCTTCGGCTCAGGTCATGATCCCAGCGTCCTGGGATCGAGTCCCACATCGGGCTCCTTGCTTGGCGGGGAGCCTGCTTCTCCCTCTGCCTCTGCCTGCCATTCTGTCTGCCTGTGCTCGCTCTCTCTCCCTTTCTCTCTGACAAATAAATAAAATTTAAAAATCATTTAAAAAAAATAAATAAATTCACTTAAGCAAAATGAGGAATTTATTGGACTCTTTTTGGTTCAGTGAAGTTTTGGTTGTTGATTATTTGGAATTTTCTATGTGGATAATCACATAATCTGCAAATAGGGACAGTTTTACTTGTTTCATTTTTTTTTACCGATATAATTTTTTAAATTTAAATTCAACTAATTAACATATAGCATATTATTAGTTTCAGAGGTAAACCTCAGTGATTCATCAGTTGCATATAACACTCCGTGCTCTTTGAATCCCATGGCCCCTTAATGCCCATCACCCAGTTGCCCCATTCCCCCACCCACCTCCTCCAGCAACCCTCAGTTTGTTTCCTATAGTTAAAAGTCTCTTATGGTGTTTCTCCCTCTCTGATTTTGCCCTATTTTTCCCTCCCTTTCCCTATGAGCTTCGGTTTTGTTTCATAAATTTCGTGTATGAGCAAAATCATATGGTATTTTTCTCTGATTGACTTGTTTTGCCTAACATAATACCCTCTAGTTCCATCCACGTCATTGCAAATGGTGAGATTCCCTTTTTTGATGGCTAAGTAATATTCCTATGTATATATCTCTCTCACATCTTCTTTATCCATTCTTCTGTCAATGAACATCTGGGCTCTTTCCATAGTTTGGCTATTGTGGACATTGTTGCTATAAACATTGGGGAGCAGGTGCCACTTCTGATCACTATGTTTGTATCCTTTGGGTCATAGGATATTGCTGGGTCATAGAGTAGCTCTATTTTTTACTTTTTGAGGAACCTACATACTGTTTTCCAGAGTTGCCGTACCAGTTTTCATTCCCACCAGTAGTGTAAGAAGGTTTCCTTTTCTCCATATCCTTGCCAACATCTGTTGTTTACTGACTTGTTAATTTTAGTCATTCTGCAGATGTGAGGTGGTATCTCATTATGGTTTTGATTTGTAGTTCCCTGATGCCAAGTGATGTTAGCATTTTTCATGTGTCTGTTGGCCATTTGTATGTCTTCTTTGGAGAAATGTCTGTTCACGTCTTCAGTCCATTTCTTGACTCTATTTTCTGTTTCTTTTTGGGTATTGAGTTTGATAAGTTCTTTATAGATTTTGCATACTAGCCCTTTATCTGAAAAGATATTTGCACATTCTCCCATTCTGTTGTCTGTCTTTTGGTTTTGTTGACTGTTCCCTTTGCTATGCAAAAGATTTTATCTTGATGAAGTCCCATAGTTTACATTTGCTTTCCTTTTCCTTGCCTTTAAAGATGTGTCTAGCAAGAAGTTGCTGTGGCTGAGGTCAAAGAGGTTGCTGCCTCTGTTCTCCTCTAGAATTTGGATGGGTTCCTGTCTCACATTGAGGTCTTTCATCCATTTTGAGGTTTTTTTGTGTATGGTGTAAGAAAATGGTCCAGTTTCATTTTTTTGCATGTGACTGTCTAATTTTCCCAACACCATTTTTGAAGAGACTGTCTTTTTCCCATTGGATATTTTTTCCTGCTTTGTTGAAGAAGAGTTGGCTATAGAGTTGAAGGTCCATTTCTGGGTTCCGTATTCTGATCTACTGAACTATGTGTCTGCTTTTATGCCAGTACCATACTGTCTTGATGATTACAGCTTTGCAGTACAGTTTGAAGTCAAGAATTGTGATGCCACTAGCTTTGGTTTTCTTTTTCAGTATTCCTCTGGCTATTCAGCACCTTTTCTGATTCCAGACATATTTTAGGATTATTTGTTCCAGCTCTGTGAAATATGTCAGTAGTATTTTGATAGGGATTTCTTTAAATGTGTAGATTGCTTTAGGTAGCATAGACATTTTAACAATATTTGTTCTTCTAATCCATGAGCATGGGATGTTTTTCCATTTCTTTGTGTCTTCCTCAATTTCTTTCATAAGTATTCTGTAGTTTTTAGAGTACAGATCCTTTACCTCCTTGGTTAGATCTTCTTGTTGGATGGACCCTTTAATTATGGTATACTGTCCTTCATCTCGTATTACAGCCTTTGGTTTGAAATCTAATTTGTCTGATACAGGGATTGCTACCCCAGCTTTCTTTTGATGTCCAGTAGCATGATAAATAGTTCTCCACCACCTCACGTTCTTTCTTTTCTTTCTTTTTTTAAAATTCTATTTATTTATTTGACAGAGAGAGAGAGAGAGAGATCACAAGTAGGCAGAGAGGAAGGCAGAGAGAGAGAGGGAAGCAGACTCCCTGCTGAGCAGAGAGCCTGATGTGGGGCATGATCTCAGGACCCTGAGATCCTGAGAGACCCTACACCCCCTCACTTTCAATCTGGAGGTGTCTATATGTCTAAAATGAGTCTCTTGCAGGGGCGCCTGGGTGGCTCAGTGGGTTAAATCTAATGCCTTCGGCTCAGGTCATGATCCCAGGGTCCTGGTATCAAGTCCCACATCAGTCTCTCTGCTCAGTGGGGAGCCTGTTCCCTCCCCTTCTGCCTGCCTCTCTGCCCACTTGTGATCTCGCTCTGTCAAACGAATAAATAAAATCTTCAAAAAAATTTTTTAAATAAATAAATAAATAAAATGAGTCTTGCAAACAGTGTATGGATGGGTCTTGTTTTTTTCTCCAATCTGATACCCTGTGTGTTTTGAGTGGAGTTGCCCATTTACATTCAGAGTAATTATTGAAATATATGAATTTAGTGCCATTGTATTACCTGTAAAGTCACTGTTTCTATATATTATCTCTGTTTATTTCTGGTCTTTGTTATTTTGGGGCTGTCTCTTCACTTAAAGGATCCCCTTTGATATTTCTTGCTGGGCTGGTTTAGTGATCACAAATTCTTTTAGTTTCTTTCTTTCTTTTCTTTTTTTTAATCATGTTCTTTTAGTTTGTCCTGGAAGTGCTTTATCTCTCCTTCAATTCTGAATATTCCTTGCTGGATAAAGTATTCTTAGCTGTATATTTTTCTCATTGAGCATGCTAACTATATCATGCCAGACCTTTCTGGCTTGCCAGGTCTCTGTGGATGGGTCTGCTGCCAGTCTTATGGTTCTACCCTGGTAGGTAATGATGTCTTGTCTGGAGCTGCTTTCAGGATTTTGTCTCTGAGATTTGGAAGTTTCACTATTAGATGTCAGGGTGTTGGCTTATTTTTACTGATTTTGAGGGGGGTTCTCTGGGCCTCCTGGATTTTGATGCTGGTTTGCTTCCCCAAATTAGGGAAGTTCTCCAGTATAATTTGCTCCAATATACCTTCTGCCCCCCACTTTCCTCTTCTGGGATCACAATTATTCTAATATGGTTTTGCTTTATGCTATCACTGATCTCTTGAATCATCCCCTTATGATCCAGTAGTTGTTTATCTCTCTTTTTCTCAGCTTCCTTATTCTCCATCATTTGTCTTCTATATCACTGACTCTCTTCTGCCTTATTTATCCTAGCAATTAGAGCCTCGTTGTTTTTGTTTTGTTTTTTAAAGATCTTACTTATTTATTCATGAGAGACAGAGAGAGCAAGAGAGAGGCAGAGACAGAGGGAGAAGCAGGCTCCCTGCTACACAGGGAGCCTGATGTGGGACTCAGTCCCAGGACCCTGGGATCACTACCTGAGCTGAAGGCAGATGCTTAACTGATTCAGCCAACCAGGCACCCAGAGCCTCTATTTCTTAAAAACTTATTTTTATTAACATATAATGTATTATTTGCCCCAGGGGTACAGGTCTGTGAATGATCAGGCTTACACACTTCATAGCACTCACCATATCACATACCCTCCCCAATGTCTACAACCCAGCCATCCTCTCCACACCCTCCC